AAAAGAAAGAGTCGTCACTGCTACTCTGCGAGTTCCCCTTATGTTTCACTTCAAAAGCGGGGGCTATTAATCAACATTTACAGATGTCTACATGACATAAATCGGCAAGACTGAATGATTTGGATATCAGTGATATCAGTCATCATACGCAAGTCTATGTAAAGCCAGTCGAACCGTATCTTTTTGTCGGTCCGTGTTCCAAGAGTTACCCTGAGAGCAACAAACTCTTGCAGCTGAAGACTTACCCCAGTAGAAGCACTGAAGAAGTTGTTCCTCAGTTCAATCTTTCTCTATCGACATAGAGGACGCTACAAACGAGCAAAGGGCATCGCTACTAGGAACAAGGGACGCTCTAGGAGCATCGCGACATGACAAGGCTGCTTGGAAGATGACCCTGTCACTGTCCCTGTCGGAAGATTCGCCTTGGAGTCCAGAAACCTCCACACCCTCAGCTGCGTTCAGCTGGTGAGAAGTTCCTTGGGCAAGTGGGAAGTCTCCTATGGTTTGTGGTCTATGTTTACATAGTTTGATTACTGTTATTGCCTGATTTCGAGGTTGATGAAGATGTGGCTTGTGGCATGCTCGCGCTTTTGGCCACGTGTTTCTCTGACTCCAAGACAGCTGCACCTCGGGCTGCAACCGGGTGGCAGGTCAACTGCTTCGGAAGGATTGTCTCTTCCCTACAACCCTGTGTGACAACAATGGTAGGAACGATTGGGCCAAGGAGGAATCCTGAACCCCTTATAAACCAGTGTTCAATCTCTTGAGTCATGGGACAGAACTTCGAGAACACAGCTATTTGCCCGGAGTCCATCTTTGCCAAGACGAAGATGGCCACGGACGGAGACCTCGCAGGCCCCCCACATGTTCACGCTCACGTCACATACAACGTGTTGGGTTGACGGAGGGGTTTGCCCCGAGCATCACAACACGTTCATCTCGTCATCGGGTATCACAGCATTCCATCGTACCACAGAACATGACAGATCATTTAGTCATCGATCTCGCAACCTGTTCATCGCCAAGTCATTGTCATCAAACATCATTTTTGTGATGTTTTGTGGTCGGGTGTCATCGGCTACAGAACATCCTCATGGGTTTCACAACCATGGTCACCTGTGACCGAAGAGTATCATCGGTCCTTTCGTTGGATTGGATGAGTGAGGCAGGGACCGGCTTAGAACTGCTCCAATCTCCCGTCGAAACTGGGAGTGGAAAGGATTCCGAAGTCACGAAAACCCTACGTTTTCTGTAAATTAGTATACTGTTTTGCTTGGTTTCTTTTAACGTTTCGATGGTGACTTGACCGCGAAGTAGCGCCCCGTTCGAGCCACGTGCTCGGTGGGATTGGGGCCGGGACGCCGCCGACGCACCGGGACTTTCACGATTTGGCAGAACCGGTGGCCTACACCGAAGTATTTCTGGTAACAAGAAGCTACTAGTAACAAGGTGCATCGCTACTAGGAACAAGGTGCATCGCTACTAGGAACAAGGTGCATCGCTACTAGGAACAAGGTGCATCGCTACTAGGAACAAGGTGCATTTTACTAGGAACAAGGTGCATCGCTACTAGGAACAAAGTGCATCGCTACTAGGAACAAGGTGCATCGCTACTAGTAACAAGGTGCATCGCTACTAGGAACAAGGTGCATCGCTACTAGGAACAAGGTGCATCGCTACTAGGAACAAAGTGCATCGCTACTAGGAACAAGGTGCATCGCTACTAGTAACAAGGTGCA